AAAAAAAAAAAAAAAAAAAAAAAAAATGAAAACAAAATAATTTATTATTTTTTTTTTTAACATTTTAACACATAAAAATTGACTCAATTGAGAAATTTCCATAATAAAATGCATTTGTTTTAAAAAAAAAAAAAAAAAAAAATAAAATTAATCAATTTTTATTGTATAAGTAATTATAAAATTAAAAATATATTATATTTTTTTGAAAAATTAGTTTTTGTAATTTTTTTTTTTAATATATATTAATAGGGGAGATAAACGTGCAAGAATTTAATTATTTTATATATATTTTTTTTTATTAATTTTTGTAAAGTATAATTATTATGTAATATTAATTTATTATAATTATATAAAATAGATAGCAAATGCTACATTATTTTAGAAAAATATAAGTAAATAATTAAATAAATATATATATATATATAAATATATATATATATATTAATACATAATATACCTATTTATATATTTTAATGAGAATGGAATCTACCGAAGATATAAAAGAAGATATATCAAGTATAATAAGTAAAGAAGAGATAAATAATAATTTAAAAATAAATAGATGGGTATGCTTGGCTTTATATTCTATTGTAGCATCTGTTGCTACTTTTGTTCATAGTGGGTTTAGTGGATGGCAACCTATAATATTTAAAACAGGAGCATTTAAAGAATTATGTACTCCAGATGATGAGGTTCAAATATTTCGTGTTGATGCAAATATTACATATGAATCATGTGGGAATAGAGATGCAGCAGTAAATAATTTGTCCACTTTATCTTTTTTTGTCCATTTTTTTTTATCTTTCTCAAGTGGATATATATTAGATACCTATGGAGAAAAAGTGTGTTTTCTTTGTGGTCAAACAATTTTAACAGCAGCTTTCTTATCATTAATTCTTTTTAAAGTGTCATATATATGGTATGTTTTTTTTTTTTTGCTTGGTGTATCAGCAGATTTATCATTTATACCACTATTAAAAATATCTAAATTTTTTCCCGGTAAGGAATCTCTTATATTTGGTATATTAGGATCAGCAAGATCTACTGGTTTTGCTATTGGTTTAGTTTTAAAGCTAGTATTTTTTTATACATTTAACTTTAAAGATGATGAATTTTATATTTTGTGTATATTTTATATTTTAACATGTAGTATGTATTCATTGATAATTGGGATATTTATTATGCCTGGAAAAAGCGAAGATATTTCTCATCTAAATAGTGAAGGGGCAACTGGATCATCTGTAACTGATAAAAATCATGTAGGTGTATTGAATGAAATGGAAAGTTTAGAAAGTATAGAAAAAAAAAATAAAAAAGATGTTAATGAGACATTTGGAGAAAAGTTAAGAAGATTATGGAGTCATCCCAAAAAATGGGAATATTTATTAGTTGTATTTATATGTAGTTCTAATATGATAAGATTTGATTATTTTATTAAAACAAATAGATCTTTTTTTATTTGGAGAACTTATGACCTTACAACTATATTTTCTTTATTAACTATTTTATCTTTTATTCCATCACCATTTTTTGGTTACATAGCAGGAAAATTTGGTTCAGTTTATGGAATACTTATAAATAATATTTTTGTATTATTAACTTATATTTTTGTCTTATTTGACAGTGTTTATCTTAGGGCTGTATCAATTTTGTTATTCTTCTTTTTTATATCATTTGCCTTTTCATGTTTTTACTGTTATGTAGACGAAAAATATTCAAAAGAGCATTTTGGAAAATTATGTGGATTAATGTTTGCTGTTAGTGCTTTATGTTTAGTTGTTAATTTTTATTTAACATATTTAACTAATGTAGTATATGTTTATTTAGGAGAAAAAAAACAAATTCCTGTAACTATTGGATTGATAATTTTGGGCCTTATTACTATATTAGGCTGTATATATTTGAAAATATCAGAAAGAGTAATAGAAAAAGAATTTGTACCAGAAAAAAAAAAAATAGTAGACATACAACAAAATTAAGATAAATTTTTTTTTTTTTTTGTTTATTTTATTTTATTTTTTTTTTTTTTAAATATTTTAAAAAGTGAACTAGCACAATCTTTTGAGTTATTTCACAATTAATTTTAAATTTGTATTATTAGTAAAAAAATTTAGTTTTATAAAAATTTATTCCAGTTTATATGTATTCATATTTTTTCTGTGGTTACACATTGTTACTCTCTTCATTTTTTTTTTTTTTTTATTATATGGCTAATAGGGGTAATTCTTCTTTTTAATGCTATAATTCACTACTATAGTTTTTATTGAGAATTTTCTTTCATTTTTATTTTTGTTTTAATTACTTTTTTTTTTTTTTTTTTTTTTTTTTTTAATAGGATTCTTTATTTTTAATAGATATCCTTTCCTCATATTTATATTTCATATAAGTATTATCATTTTTAATTATTATATTTATCTATAATTATTTTTTATTAATTTTAATTGCAACAACCAGTTTTTATTTACATATTTGTCTTTAATAATTTTCTTTTTGTTTTTTCTTTTTTCTTTTTTTTCTTTTTACTTTTTATTTTTTTCTTTTTAATGTATTCATATAGAATAGAGTATGCATTCAATTTATTGAATTTAATTTGATAATTAGAAAATATATTAGTGCATAATTGCCATTATATTTTTTTTTTATCTTTAAAGTTTAGGGATACATTTAAAAAATTGTTTTACTAATATATTGTCTATTAATTATATTTTTTTTTTTTTATTATCTATTTATTTTTTAATAAATTACTAAACTTTAAAAAAAAAAAAAAAAAAATTTTAGTATATATAACAAATTTTTTATATTTTTTGGAGAGTTTTATGTGCCTACATTATTTAAATATAAAAGAAGAAAATAAAAATACATAGGAATCTTTATAAATTAATAGTATAGAAATTATTAAACTTATATATACTAGTAATAGTAATTTTAATTTTGTTTTTTAAATATATTTGATATTGTCCATTTTAAAACTTATTTAACAAAAAAAAAATAAATTTTTATATTAAATAATTATATTATATGCTAATAATTTTTAATAACAAAATATTTACAAAAAACAAAAAAAGAAAAAAAAAATTTATAAAAAATGGAATATAAAATAAACATATAATTTAATATATAAATAATAAAGAAAAAAATAAGAATGGTTAAAATAAACTATTTCAACCTATTTTTTTTTTTTTTTTTTTATTAAGAGTTCTTCAAATTTTATAAATATAATATAATAATCAAATAGTTTCCAATTAAATATTATAAATAAATCATTTTATAAAATTTATACTGAGTATAACAAATCATAATTATTTAGTTTTTGTTATTTTTAACATTTTTCTTTTTCATAAAAATAAAATAAAGTAGTTTCTTTATTTAACATTTCCCTTTCTTTAGATGTACCTTCAAGAAAATATTTGTAAATTTTTTTTTCTTTATTTGTTAAACCTTCTAAAAAATAAGAATTCAATTTTGTTTTGTTATTAATAAGAAAATGTATTCTTGTTTTTTCTGCTTTTCTTAATATGTTGTAAAAATTTGCTGATGGCCATTCATTAACTGGTAACAAATTACATAACTCATATGCTGTCTCAAAATAAAATTGATTAAATAAACCAATTGTTACGGATACTGGATCAAATTTTAAGGTTTCAATAATATCATAATAAGAAGGAAATTTAATTCGTATTATATTTTTTTTATATAATTTTACAGCAAAAAATAAGGTTAATTTGATTTCATCGTCTGCATTTATCTTATCTTCTCTCAAACCACTTTTATATTCTAAATAAGCTTCATTATTCAACAGTGACAAACCATATAAATCAACTATGGGTATACACGGAATTTCAACTAAATCAATAAAATTAAATGGTGTATTTATATCTTTTATAATTTCTTCGAATTCTAAAAAATTATTATTTAATTTTATATTTTTAATTATATCTTCATTCATTTTTATATAATATATATATATACATATATATATATTTAAAGGACTATTTATATATAACTATTCATTTAATAGAATGCAAAAATTTTCTGTTATTTTAGGAATAAAATTAAGCACAATTTACATAAAATATATATATATATATATTTTTTTTTTTTAATTTATTAATATTTATTAATGTACATTTAATTTTATTTGATAGAATTTGATATAATTATTATTCTTCTAAAGATAAAATGAAATTATATGGTTGTATATATATTATCCTTTTATGAACTAAAAATATAAAAATCCTCCATAAAAAAATAAAATAAAATAAAAATAATTTTAATTCACATAATTATTAATTTATTAAAAAGAGCCTCTTTTGTAATATATCATAAAAATTCTGATAATAATTAAGAATTTCTAAATTTTTATAACTTCAATTTATTAAATAGTTTGGTATTTATATAGTAAATATATATATATATATACCTTAATGTATATTAATGCACTTGTAAAATAAACATCTTGTTAAATATAAGTTTAGTATTTCTTTATTTAATGTATGTACAAATTTAAAAAAAAAAAAAAAAAAAATTGAAAAAAGTTATAAAAATTTATAGTTTTAAAAATAACACCAATATGTAAAAAAAAAAAAAAAAAATTTTTTTTTCTCAATTTTTCAATACTTTTTCTTTAAAACAATATAACTAAAAACATATTGCTTTATTGAAAATTTATATTAAATTTTAAAAAAAATTCAATATATAAAATATAAATTAGGATATTTCAATATTCTTTTTTTTTTTTTTTTTTGGTTGAAATTTAATAAAGTTCATGAGCAAAAAAAAAAAAAAAAAAA